CTGATTGGTAGCACTGTTTACTTGCTCAGCAATCTTATCTTGGAACTGTGCGGCAACTTTGCTTATAGCGAGACGTGCTTAAACGTTTAAACCAGAGCTCGTAAAGTCAACCAATTTTACCATAGTCATGGAAAACTTTTAAAACTTTTAGCAAACGCAAATGATGTTCGATTTGGGATCATTTTGAGCAAGTGACCGACCAAAATGCAAAGTGTAAGATCTGCAAAGTAATATTGTCTTGGGTATCGCAAAGAAATATTGGTCGCCACATAAAGGCAAAAAATCCATGTGCAGTGGTTAGCGTTGAACGCCAGAACATCCTCCTGGATTCAGGAGGCAATGTCACAGAAACACATCGCAGGATTGTGGATTTTATCCATTAACCACCACCGGCTCGAAAATATGAAGAGATTGATCGATAGCTTGTTTAAATGGTGCCAAAATCACATCATATCTGGGACCAGGACTGAGCTGAGCTGACATGTATTAACAAAGAGGTCATTGTTTCAGCGGCTGCTGTTGGTTTTACAACATACGCCCAAAAGGCGGTAACAGCTCACTATATTTCTACTGAAGCGACAAATCTACATTCGCATATGGTTGCAAGTGAAAGGCATACTAGCATAAATCTATGCTGGTATTTAAAAAAAAATTCTGCTGAATGCAACTTCAAGGATCAAATCGTTACAATCCAGTCCGACAATGCCGCTGATGTTGTTAGTGCAGTTAAGCATGGCAACTGATGGCACCTACCCTGCTTTGCACATACGTTGAACTTAAATGTCTACCGACTCCAAGGATTTCCACTTTTGAGCGATTGATTGCCTTAAAAAAGCGGTTATGGTATCAAAGCCTATACTTCGACCAGATCTTATTCGAAACCATAAAGACTGGATTTTTTTGGAGATTTTGGAGATTGGAGATTTGTTGCCGGTGCTAGAACCTGTAACAGTTGAACTATCGCCGGATAAAAGTTATTACTTTTGAATATGGAAGAAGGCGAACAGATTCAAGGACTAAAGACAACAATTTTTATGCAGCACAATTTTAGATCCGTTTTTTTCGGTCAAATATTAGTTTGAAGACAGCTTTTGAAACGTTGGAATCCAAATATATAGTTATTCAATATAATTTTGTCACCCCAACGGCAAATGAAACGTCTCATAGCAACGTGGCGGACGAGCAACCTGGAAAAAATTACATGTGGGAGGAGTAGGACAACTTATTTAAAGATTCATTGAAACCATCCGATGACATAAATGCCAATGAATAAATGCTGCCAATAAAGAGTTGGATAGATATCTGGCAGAGGAATGCTTAACTAGGATTGGCCATCCCTTGATGTGGCGGAAGTTGATGTGCATTGAAGCGCTTGTGTTTGCTGTCAAAATTCTTTGCGAACGATTTTTTTCTACAGCTGTCGAAATAATTAGAAAGAGATCTTTAAAAACCAAACAAAACCAAAAATCCACATTCATATGTAAGCAAAACGTGAGGACTTTTATTATTTGTTTAATTTTTTCAACTATGTAATCACAATCAATTGCCAGCTCGAGCATCATTTTTGGATTTACGCCACTAGTCCAAGGCTCTAAGCTTAAAAAGTGCCAAATTACAACAACATTTTCTCGTAAAATGAACTTGGAAAAATTAAAAAATTAAAAAAAAATGTAGCACTGAAAAGGGTAAAACTGAGTGAGCCACTCAACAAGTGAAAAACTTATCGAAAAAGTAAACATGTGAAAACTGATTGAACAATTGAACAACTGAGTGAGTTTGTTCACTCACTTAAAACTGACTTGGACAATGTTTACCCAACTCTATTGTGCAATAGCTCAACCACACTGGGAGAGAGATGTTTAAATTAAAATTAAAATTAAATAATATAAATATTAATAAAATAATACAACAAAATTATTAAAATCAATACATGTACAGTCATATGTAAAAACATAATTAACATAAAATATGAGGTTCAAAATTCGACATGAAACTTTTTGGATCCGCCTTTTATCCATTCAATGCCATTTGTCATCAAATCGCAATTTTATTCTATTTTCGATTCTCCAAATACCCCATGGATCTCTATCTTAACAGAACCGTAAATTCCACGATGGTACAGGAAATTGTTTTTCATTATGTGTGCAACTTGACCCGAGAGCTGTGCCATCAATTAGAAACTTGAACTATCGGAAAGAGTTTTTCTGTAAAGGGCAACCGAGCGTTAAAGAAACTTTCTGTAAAATCCCATGGACCCATGAATCTTGTCAACCTACTGCACCGCTTTAAGTTCCGCTACCATCTCTGATATTTCGCACCAAACCACAGACATATGTACATTTGTACATTCTAATAGCTGGAAAGATAGGGTAGATGGTGGGTAGATGTTCTTTTCTTTGCCTGAAATTGACCGATTACCCACAAAACTACCAACATTTATTTGTACGTAATTTCAGAAACTTTCCTTTTCTCAGTTGAGAAGGGTTGGGAGTTTGGTGCTTGGCTGTTCGCTTGGGTGTAACGTCGGGTTGTTCTCTGTAGTTTCCCCGGAAGTAACCCCTTTTCATTGCTGGGATCTCTGATCTCTGCATTCTAATATTTCAAAATGTGTACAATTTGTTACGCACTCAAATGACATCCGCCAATTAGGCCCTGGCTGATATTTTTCCGACGTTAATTTAGTTTTATGACCGTTAGACTGGCGTTTTTAGTTAAAAATCGAAATACTATTAGTCCGTGGTATTCAAAAGGGCTGAATACTGCCTGAAGATTTATCGGCAATGTGACAATACATTCATAATGCATTTTTATATATTGGATATCTTAGTGTCAAGTATTAATTTGAGCTGCTTATTCGTTAAATAACATGTAACTAATATTTCTAGAAATTCTCCTTAGAAATGTTAAATTTGTTTGGATTTTTATTCAATTTCTTTACCAATAACGATTATATTTTAAATTTCAGAGGTGTTTAATCGTAGTATTTTTCGTGATAAGTACAGTCAAACAGAGCTGCCAACTTGCAAAGCTGAGGTATAAAATTCACTTAATAACTTAGAAACATTGAAAATAAATTTCAGTTTATATTTAATGCAGATTTTTAATATTTTCAATACTTGAATACAACTTACTATTTTTCTTGACAATTGGCTAAACTGCATAATTTTCGAGAATTTGCGAGAATTATTTAAATCTTCTTATGTGAGTGGTGTGTGTGTGTGTTTTTTTTTTGTTAGAAATTCGAAGAAATTATTAAGCGTGTCTCATGATGTTTTAGCACTGAAACCGAACCGGCAGAAACCCGACTACCGAGATCTTAATTTAATTTTTCATTTAAGCTGAAGACGATGAAGATATAGGGAATGGCTGGATGGATGGTTGAGATGGTTGGTTGGTTAAAGATTCGGTGGAGAGCACTTGAATGCAGCTCAAATTATGGAAAGAAACTTGACGTCCGTTGGCGGCTCATAATGAAAACATTTAACCTGTCGTCTTCAGTGATTCGAACAACATGAAATTCATTCTCTCTCCTTAGGAAACCCACTCTCCCTTCATTCTATCCTATTCCACTTTTTCAATTATATTCCGTGTGTCTCTATTTGCCATGATCCTTTCGAGGAGTGGAGCGGAGTGGAGCGGAGTGGAGCGGAGCGCACACAGCTAAAAGAAAATAATACTTGGGGACAAATTGACAGAGAGGCGGGAGCAAGCACCGGCAAAGGCAGAGTCTGCCTGGCAGCCAGGTTTCAAGCTGAGTGGATAATACCACCATTTCCTTTTTACGCGGGCTCCTTGTTGTCATTAATGAGACGTCTTCTTCAGGGTTCCGCGGGTCCTCCCGTTACGATTTTGGTTTGCCTTTTTTTTTTTTTTGCCTTCTAGTCATGTCCATTTCAAGATGTCAAAGAATCTTCATGGACATGGTTGCCCCTTATCAACTCAACTTTTGTGTGGCAACTCGGCCTGGCATTGCGTTTTGTTCTCCACTCAGTGTGGATTGGTGTGGACATTCCGGGCATTATGTCGCTCCTCTTTTTTCGCCGTGTGCGTCTCAATGTTTAATGAACGACAGACATACCCCATACATATTCCCCGTCTTTGATCTTACGCTTCGTTCCTAATTTGATTATAAACGCATTCGCTCACATTCTCTTCACTTTTGGGGCTCCACACTCCACCACTCCACCAACCTCTTTCTGCCACACTCTATTTCTGTTGGCTGTTTCTCTGTGCCTTTCTAACACGTCTTCATTTTCAGCTTGAATGCCTGCCGCACTTTCCGACTCCCGTCCATTCCATTCCACCTCATTCCATGCCACTGATGCTGTGGAGTACGCGCCGCGGCTTACTCAATGACGCGTTGAAAGTGCCATATAAAAGAACTAAACATGAAAACATTCCACATAAAGACAGAGAGAGAGAGAAAGCGCAGGGCAGAGCAGAGCGTTAGATACCCAAACGAGAAAGAGATGCTACTAGAGAAATAGAAGACAAAGAACAAGACAACGTTTAAGGTGGAGTGGCAGGGCGAAAAGGAGAAGTCATGTCTGGGGTTAGGTGCTGACAGCATTTTAAATGAAATTAAAACGAGATGCTTTCACTTTGCCTTTGCTTTTCTTACTCCCTTGCCACTCTTCTTTGCTGGCGAAGGGTAAATGTCTCACTTGGTTGACTCCTGCTGCCTTCCCCCCCCACCCACTAGCATTGTGTCTCTCGACTGCCAGATTTCAAAAGTAAGCAGAAGTAATGTCAGCGTCCTACATGAACTTCAGTGGTGGGGGGTGGGGCGGGTCTGGAAGCGGATCGAGGAGCGGTTTTGTGTTTTACACTTACATATGTACGTCAACATTAGATGTTGAATCAAATCGATCAACTGGAATGATTCGATGATATGATAATACCCCTATAATGCCAGCCATTCATTTAAATTTTTGAGCATCAACATAGAAACCTTAATTTTTTTTGTATAGCCGGAATATAATCAATAATTCAACTTCAAGAAACAAATACTCGTGGTCTGGCTCTCCTGCCTCTATTATTATTATTCTAATAGCTTAGCATAACAGGACTAATTTCCATTTCATTATGTATGCAGGATATATATTCTTCCTTCTGACCGCTTTTTACCTTAAATTCTACAAAATATTCTCCTCTCGGGACACAAATGTAAATACACGAATTTCCACAAAAACGCATCGCCACTTAGGTACCAGGTACTCAGTAGTAGATCTGTGCCTTATTGGTTTTATACAAATTTGTACTTTTTACATTTTCAATTTTTTCTACATATGTATGTTATCAAATCTACATCACTTCTCACGCTCAGCTCTCAAGCTCAGATGCAGCCTTGTTGCATAAACTTTTGTCAGCAGTTTAGTGAGTTTCTTGCCATCGTTTTCGCAGATTCCTTTTATTTTTTATTTTTTTATCGAAGTTCGGTTGAAAGGTACAATTGGTTTGGTTGTTGATGATTAAGAGCATGATTCATGAGCATGAGCATGAATTGTGTTTGGGAAAAGCTCCACAGCATAGTCTATACTCTCTCCTGTTTTTAACGAAAGGTCCAGGCATATAGCTGAGTTTAAATAGCTTTTAAATGCGTTAATGTCTGTAGAGGCTGTTATGACTTTATAGGGCTTTTCCAACATATGGGCTAAGTAAGTGTATTGTGCTGTAAGTTGCTATTATCGGAGAATGATCTGAGTTAAGTTCAAAGCTCTCCATTACTCGCATGTGCGATTGTGGGATTCCAGATAATACTACGAAATCAATCAAATCTGAAATTGTTCTGCGTGCATACATTTTATCTGAATTGTGGCAGCCCGCATAGCGTTTTCCCTAGTACTGTCCATGATTGGAAATTTAAGGCAATTGGCAATAATTGCAGCACCTCACCTCACACTTCCCTTCTCGTTAGTTTTCTTTTATCTTCGAAATTGTAGGTTTGGGAGGTTTTCGCCCTTTTTCGGGGTCGTGGCTCATTTTTGAAATACACTGGTTTCAGTGTGAGCATACAGCAGTCCGGAGCCAAAATATGGTGGCTCTAGCTCTTATAGTCTCTGAGAACTAGCAGACAAACAAGACGGACAGACGGACGGACGGACGGACGGACGGACAGACGGACAGACAGACATGGCTCTATCGACTCGTCTATTGATGCTGATCAAGAATATATATACTCTATGGGGTCGGAAACGTTTCCTTCTGTGCGTTACATACAACCGGTATTCCCCACAAATACACTATACCCTAGATCATGCTGCTAGTTACAAAGGGTGTAAAGTCTATCAGGATCTTATATAAAAAAAAATAGTAAGCGGACGCAACCACCAGAGAAACACAAAAGATGACAATAATAAAAATGACCATGGTACATATCAATCATTTGCTCCGTTTAATAATTCGACCCAACAACCCAAATATTACCAATCATACGCTCAAGTTGCTGCAAGAAATAGTACCTCAAACAAGTCTCTAGAAAGAATAGAACAGCTTCTAGAAAAACAATCTCAACTTACCAATAATTTACTTAACATGATAATGTTACTTGTAAATAAGCTATGCAAATATATCTAAACTTAGGAATATGGAATGCCAATGGGCTTTCCAACTATGTAAATGAAATAGCTTTATTTTTAAAAACGAATGCCATTGACGTCATGCTTATTTCAGAAACACACTTCACTAGCAAATCTTTTTTTAAAGTTACTGGATACGACACAGTAAGAGCTGACCATCCATCAGATAGAGCACATGGAGGTGCTGCAATTCTTGTCAAGCAGGGCCTTAAATTTCAAATCATGGACAGTACTAGGGAAAACGCTATGCAGGTTGCCACAATTCAGATAAAATGTATGCACGCAGATGTATCAATAACAGCGATTTATCTCCCACCAAGATTCACAATAAAAGAACTCGATTTTAAAAATTTTTCCAAGGACTGGGAACAAAGTTTATCGTGGGAGGCGACTTCAATGCCAAACATCCATGGTGGGGATCCAGATTAACTAACCCGAAGGGATCGGAGTTATACAAATGCATACGAAACAATAACATAACGACTTTGTCAACTGGTGTGCCCACATACTGGCCAACTGATAGTCGAAAAATTCCAGATTTGATTGATTTCATAGTATTCTCTGGAATCCCACAATAACACATGCGAGTAATGGAGAGCTTTGACCTTAACTCAGATCATTCTCCAATAATAGCAACTTACAGCACAATAGCCCATATGTTGGAAAAGCCCTATAAAGTAATAACAGCCTCTACAGACATTAACGCATTTAAAAGCCATTTAGATTCAGCTATAAGCCTGGACATTTAGGTAAAAACAGGAGAGGAGATAGACTATGCTGTGGAGCTTTTCACAAATACAATTCATAATGCGAGCTACAGAAACACGAATCATGCTCTTAATCATCAACAACCAAACCAATTGAACCTTTCAACCGAACTTCGACAAAAGAAACTCTGGCAAGAAACTCACTACCCTGCTGACAAAAGATTGTACAACAAGGCTGCATCTGAGCTTAGACAACTGCTATCGAACTTACGCAATGAATCTCTAGCTGCGTATCTGAGATACTTAGACCCTAATTCCAGCAACGATGAATACAACCTATGGAGGGCGACTAAATACCTAAAGAAACCAGCTAAAAGAAACATAAATATTCGCAAAAGCAACGGAACTTGGTGTAGGTCTAATAATGAACAAGCGAAAGCATTTGCACAACATCTGCACTCTGTGTTTCAGCCAAACGATATAAATAATTATATAACAGAGACTGAAGGAGAAAAATTCCTTGAGTCACCCTGCCAAATGAGCTTGCCTATTAAAAGCATTAAATATGAAGAAGTTGTGACAGAAATCAAATGCTTAAACAAAAAAAAAAAAGCACCAGGCCCTGATAAAATAGACGGTATCACCCTAAAAAGTTTACCACCAAAATGCATTCGGTTTCTCACTCTTATATATAACTCGATTCTCAGACTAGACCACTTTCCAAGTCAATGAAAATGTGCAGAGATCGTTATGATCCTAAAACCAAACAAAATAGAAACGGAATTGAGATCATACCGTCCCATCATATTGTCCCGTCTGTTGACAATTTTCTCGAAAGATTTTGAAAAAATACTATTTTGGACGAACTTTCCATCATTCTTGAATACCAATTCGGACTCAGGAGGGGTCACGGGACCCCTGAGCAATGTCACAGGGTTATTAATGATATAGTTTCGGCATTTGAAAATAAAAAATACTGCACTGCTGCATTTCTTGATGTTTAACAAGCGTTTGATCGAGTCTGGCACAAAGGTTTGTTGTACAAGATAAAGAAATGGCTACCTGCTCCGTACTATTTATTAATTAAATCATATCTGGCTAGAAGATGCTTTTACGTGCAGCAGAAAACTGATAATTCATCACTACTTCTCATCAACGCATGCGTCCCACAAGGAAGCGTATTGGGACCAATTCTGTACACCCTATATACGGCCGACATGCCAGTTACAAACAACTGCACTGTTGCAACATATGCTGATGATACAGCCGTTTTAGCCACAAGCACATCTATAAATGAAGCTTCTGAACTCCTGCAGAGTGAGCTAAGCCTAATTGAAGACTGGTTCCTTCGATGGAAAATTAGAATAAACTCCCTGAAATCCGTCCAAATAACGTTTTCATTAAGACCAGGTAACTGCCCAAATGTTACACTTAACGGCTCACTAATTCCACAAAGTACCTGTGTGAAGTATCTCGGCTTGCATCGCGACCGCAGATTAACATACAAAAACCACATTAAAGCAAAATGTCAACAACTTAGACTTAAAACACTAAAAATGTCCTGGTTGATAAGCCGAAAATCAGAAACCACTTTGGAAAACAAAATTCGCCTCTACAAATCCATACTGAAGCCTGTTTGGACCTACGCTATACAGCTTTGGGGAACTGCTAGTAACTCAAATATTGAGATACTTCAGCGTTACCAATCAAAAACTTTGCGACACAGTGTCAATGCTCCGTTTTACGTATCTAATGCAAACATCCACAAAGATCTGAATATTCCAACAATTAAAGAAGAAATAAAGAAAACTAGTAAGAAATACATCGACAGACTCCACAACCACGAAAATAATTTAGCCTTAAGTCTATTAGACAATAGCCCAACAGTAAGAAGACTGAAAAGATACCACATTCTCGATATCCCTGATAGATAAATCCAACAAACTGAAAAGATGTTATATATAATAGCAGGACTCATTGGAAAACTGCTATTTCTGTTAATTGAATATTAATTATACAATTTACTTATTGTTTAAAAAAACAGATTGTAAATATAAAGAGAGAAAAAAACAAAACAAAAAAAGGAGTGTTGTAGATGTAGATGACATATGAAGAAAAAATTTAAAATTTGACAAAACACCGCTAAGGTGCAGATGTAGTACTGAGTGTCGGGTATAAAAGTTGTGACGCGTAAGTAGCGTCTCACACGTCCCTTCTCGTTTTCTTTCTAATAATGATACAACCTCTTCCCAATTCGGTGATCTGAAAGATATGGTGAATACCTCTAAATGGCATTTAAGTTTTCTCTTATCTTCTAAATTGTGGATGTCAGAGATTTTCGACCTTTGGGACGGAAAGACAGACAGACAGATATAGACTCGGCTATTGAGGCTCGTCGAGAATATATATACTTTATGGGGTTGGTTTCCGTCTCTGCGTTACAGTCACCCAGTTTTCCCCACAAATACAATATACTCTATTTAATCTTCGAGTACCAGGTAAACAAAAAAATTACAATTCCATTTAAAGTCAAGTCGGCATTTTTCATGTGTACTGGGGCTGATTCTGTTTGCTCCGGCGTTTCCTGACAGCGAGATTCACACTTCATTTGAGGCACCTCACGCTTTCGGTACAGAACCTGTACCTCTGACCCATTTCATGCCACAACAAACAACAAAGGAGACGAGTGCTAATGTTGCGCATAATAATTTTGTACCAAATTAAATAGTGCGTGGGTCGAGGGATCGGCGGCGTCTCTGATGGATCTGTCGTTTTGCGTCGCCATCTGTGCAACATGTTGCTCCCTTCTTGTTTTTTTTTTGTGTTTCTTCATGCCACTTGAGCCACAAAGGATATAATTTAGTTTTTATTGCACACGGTTCTGCCTCATCTCGGTGTCTGCTCGTTTTCGTTGCAGGAGGGTTTATCAGCTACGCATGGCATGATGTTTGTTTTCACAAGGATCCTTTACGACTTCTCCGGCCGGTTTTGTAGCCACCAATACGACGCATTGTCGTAATACTAAAACTACTAGCTCGCATTGCATTTTAGTGTTAATTTATTGCTGTGCCCGCTTCTACATACATACGTATAAGACGTCACGTGTGTGTCTCTCTCGTCAGTCCTTTGGTCGCCGCTGCCTTTGATGTTTCCTATAAATCACAGCTGGACTTTTGTCAGCTTTTAGTAAATGTCTATATAAGAATTTATGCAGGTTTTCTTTAATATGGGCAGAGGCTGCGAACAATTTTTATACCCGGTACTCGAAGAGTAAATAGGGTATATTGTATTTGTGTCAATAACGGTTGAATGTAAACGCACAAAGGGAAGCGTTTCCTACCCCATAAAGTATATATATTCTTGATCAGAATCAATAGCCGAGTTGATAGAACCATGTCTGTCTGTCCGTCTTGTTTGTCGACTAGTTCTCAGAGACTATAAGAGCTAGAGCCACAAAATTTTGGGTCCAGACTGCTGTATGCTCACACTTAAACCAGTATTGTAAAAATTGTGTATTTAAAAATTTAGCACCGCCCCCGAAAAAGTGCAAAAACCTCTCAAACCTCCAATTTTGATGATAAAAAAAACTTAAAACGCCATTCCGTAGGGAATGACCATATCTATCAGATCACAAAATTGGGATCCGATTGGATAATTATTATAGCCAGAATGAAGAAATTAATTTGCAGTGGCTAAACCCACCACGGTATATTGTATTTGTGTGGAATAAAGGTTGTATGTAACGCACAGAAGGAAACGCTTCTGACCCCATAAAGTATATATACTCTTGATCAGCATCAATAGACGAGTCGATAGAGCCATGTCTGTCTGTCCGTCTGTCCGTCTTGTTTGTCGACTAGTTCTCAGAGACTATAAGAGCTAGAGCCACCAAATTTTGCATCCAGGCTGCTATATGCTCACACAGAAACCAGTGTATTTCAAAAATTAATTCGCCCAACAGGGCGAAAACCTCCCAAACCTACAGTTTTGAAAGTAAAAGATAACTAAAAACGCCATTCCGTAGGGAATGGCCATATCTATCAGATCACCAATCATTATTATAGCCACAATAGAGAAATAAATTTCCAGTGGATAAACCCACCCTGTCCCGCAGCTTACGCTTTTCTTTTCACATTCTCTCATTCACACTCTGCTTCTGCTTCACTCGGCCCCTGCCTCTGCCCTTCCCCTGCCAATTCCTCTTCCGACTTTTAACCTAACCGTCACACAGCTTATATTTGGTGGGCGCTGCCTCTGCCTCTGCCGCGAGTCTGCAGTGTGTGGGTCTAGGGAAGGGCGGCGAGCTAAAGGAGCGTGTTGGTGTGAGTAGTGTTGTTGATGTAGATGACAGATGAAGAAAATATGTAAAATTTAACAAACAACCGCTAAGGTGCAGATGTTGTACTGAGTGCCGGGTATAAAAGTTGTGACGCGTAAGAAGCGTCTCACACGTCCCTTCTCGTTTTTATTGGATGCGGATGAACATACGTGAGGTACATGCTTACATACATACATAGATAGTTTTATTAAAACTATGTTTTATAAAACAATTATTTTTGTTATCGCGTACTTTGCTTTTGCATTTGGTTAGTCAACACCTCCCGCCTCTTCCTCTCTTCAATTTCATTTATGGAATTTCCAACGAATTTCCCTTAATTTTTGAAGATTTTACTTCACTTGGCATGCATTTGACTCTGAATCATTGCCTGGAATACATGCATATTTATGGATGAATTTCTCTAGTGATATATGAACATATGTACATAGTCCATAGAAATTTCCCGCCACATGTTTAAATGTGCTAAACGTTCACCTCACCACTTCATACACACATATGTACACTACATATGTACATACATATATCATAATCAAATCGAGCGAAAGAGAAACCATTGGCAAACATTGGCACCACAAAACTACAACAAAATTTATAGCCTCACATATAAGCTTTACGACCTTCCCGATTCAATCAGAAAAGAAAGAGAGAACCAGAGAACAGGGGAACAACACAGCGCAGCAACTGGCGGCGGACCCCCCAACGTATGGGATGGCGCTGCCTGGCGTACCGAGGAGGTATATGTAAAGCAGGATATAGCCATCCATAAGGTGTTTCCCTGTGCTTCTTGCCACAAGCATGTGTGGGCGCGGTGCGCGCTCGGCTCGATAAAGATAACATAAATTATTGGTCCTATATATCATGTTGCCACCGGAGCAGGAGAAGCAGAAGGAGAACGAATTTAACGAGCCTTCGAAAGCCGAGAGTCGCTGGCGATATTTTTTGATTTACTTGCTAAATTTTTAAACCAGATCTAAGAAGCAGCAGCAGGACGACTCTTTTCTCTTTCAAGGCTGGGAGTCCGGTCAAGCAAGTACAACAGCGGCAGGCAGCCAGGCTGTGCCATTGTCCTTGATTTATGGTCCGTCATTCATTTCCAGCCACCAAAGTTGACACTTCTTCGTATGTATATCCCGCCGTTCCAGAGTCCCCTGTCAGTCTCAGTCGTCGGTCACTCCCCTGGTAGGGGCGTTGCTGATGTCCTGCGTCCTGTGTACTGTAAACTCGGTGTGTGTGTGTGCATCCTGTGACATTTTGACAAATAATTTTATTGATGCTCTCGGCGACTCTGTTTGGCATTTAATTGTCCTAAGAGTTCGTTCGCTCCGCACGTGATAATTGCTCATTTTTATGACGCATTTATCAAAAGTTGTTCGAGGTCTCGTCCTTGGAATTGTCCTTTGTCCCTTTTTGCATCATGCTGTGCATCTGACAGCGTAAAATCGTCTCCTACTCGCTGTATAGGGAGATGCTGATACCGTGTCGTCGTCCTTCTCCTATTATAAGTCTCTGATAGTCACGCGTCATAGGTTTACACACTCTTGGTGGCAATTTCCCTTTTTTCCCTTAACACAAATTAGGGATATATTCCGTGGGGTTAGGGGTTTGACCTGGGAAATTCAATTAAATGTTCTTAAACAGATACATATATGTATGATTTAAAAAAATTGATTTTGAATGTGTATATACAATTTAAAAAGTCATATCAAATCCGTTTCTTTGTTCTCTGTAAACCATTCCAGTATGTTTCCTCGCTTAAAGAAACATTTTCTCTAATTCTTAACCCTTGTACAACCTTTACATCCAACAATATCCAGAAATAAACATGCGAGAGCCGCCGCTCCAGACGATTCAAAGAGATATTGTACGCAATTGAAAACTGGCAATAGGAATTATGCCATCAGAGTATCATTTTAGAATCCTCCACGTGTCAGCGTTGTAGATATTTCTACCAGCGACAGCGATTAATTTGCTTTATTAATCCGCCCAAAAGTGAAGCCACACACACCGAGGGTGGCCCGCAAAAAATGGAAAACATATATTTTTTTGTGCATTACCGTATAATTTCAATGTCACCATTACTATTTTTTCGTTCGTTTTTCGTTTTCGTTTGCGCAACTATTACGAGATAAATTGTTGTCAATAAATTATCGACAGGCGGCAGGCGGAGAAGTAGCTCTTGGAACCCGGAACACAGTCATAGCAGGCAACCCTCCTGCATCCCCTATTATGTGTTGTGTTTTCTTGGGGTTCATATGGTTCTACATACATACATACATTTATATTGAATTTATTGCACTTTGTTTTTCAATTTTTTAAATGGTTTTCGGTGAGGTTGGGGGAGAGCCCGAATCTTTCAGAATTGAATTATTAGTTGGCTGCATGGAATGTAGAAGCATTTATATCGGAAGTAGTTATGATGGCATATAACGTTTCGATTTGGTAAGTATTCTACTGCAAACAAGATTTAACAGAGTTATTTCACTTTATTGGCTTATTTATTAGTGAAAATATGACCAGAAAATAACCCAGACTTTCTCTTAATATTTAATTGAACCATTCAGTTTTACATTTCGTATACAAAGTATCTTCACCTGTCAGACGTACCAACATTTCGAATAAAAACGAATATTCCACCCTGAAGTAACAAATTTCCGCCCAGATAGTCATCGAGTGTCAAGAAACGTTTTTTCAGATGCCAAAATAAAGCAATTATCGTACAGGAGAAGTGGCAGTGGCAGTGGCAGAAACTGGCTCTTTGCCTTTTCCACTGCCTTATGCGTAAGTCAACTGAAAATCCGCAGAAAGTTAAACGACTTTCCCTTCTCCACCGCCACACAGCCGACTTGACGGATATATATACGTTCATATTACCGGAGATAATGTCAAATTGATTGCATTATTTTTTACCTCCTTTTGCTGCTCTTCTTCCTTCCATTTGTGGAAAGCGTTGTTTCATGCGTGTGTCTGTGCCCCATCAGCCACTGCCCAACCACCTCGATAGCCCACTTCTACGGCTGCCACTGCGGCTGGTACTGCTACTGCTGCCACTGCTGCCACTGCTGCTGATGTTGTGGTGCATAAATCAAAAGGTAAATGGCTGCATTTTTATGACTGCGCCGCCGTCGTCCGCATTTTGCGCCGCTTCGCTTTTATCAGACAAACATTTCTGTGATAATAAATGCCATAAAAATGAAGAAATATGTGGTGAATTTTATGTGCTACCCCCCGCCGTACCGCCCTTGCCCCATGCCCTATTTGGTTCTGCTGCATATTTTTTTCCTCCTTTTTATATTCCTCATATAAATGTTTTCGCGGCTACAAATTTCTCTTACTGTCTCTTGTTTTATGTTGTTTCCTTCCTGCCTGTAGATACTCGTATCTGGGGTATATTGGCTTTAGGGTGATTTTATGTGCACGATAAAAGATACAATTTAGTAAAATATATGTATTTATGTTAGGGAAAAAATATGATAGAAAAGTGTGTTAGAATGTAGTCTTCTTTTAATACGTACCGTATTATTTTAGTGATGAAATAAGTTAGGAATTCTTGTTTTATATGCACCAGATAATCTAATCTGTAATCTTCTTCGAACATTATGCCTGAAAATATTTTCCACTAAATAAGAAAATTAACATATCAAAAGCCAAAAAAACCTCTCCTAGGGCATAACCATTAAGATGGCGAGTAAATTGCTTTAGTCACGGTATCAAGGTGTTCCACACTTCCGTGCCCCCTGGCAATCGCTTTGGCTTTCGTTGTAATTTATAATATTTTAGTATTATTTATGCGAACCGCCAAGGATTCCTCGCTCGCATTCGCGCTAGTAAATAATTCACATACAGGAGGAGCAACGAATTTATGACGCTGACAAAGTGGCCATAAAAAATTTCAAATAATAAGGGAAAATACTAGCCCGCACTCGAGCCGTAAAACTCTATAACCTCTGACGACTGTACCAGTACCTGTACATACAATGTACATATTTATTTTGGCAACACTCTGAGCTGGTTTTTTTTCACGCATAAACCGCAAAATTATGGTTTAAGCTGGACCACGCTTTTAGCTAATAAATCCATCATTTACTGAAGGAGGGAACTCTACCTGTGACACGTAAGGAGCGAGAGAGAAAGAGATCCTCATTGCCAAAAAATGTCTAAATACTCTTAGTCCTGGCATAAGCCTCCTTTCTGTTAGCAGTCTTTACTCTCATATTTACAAAGATTTTAATTTGCTTGCTTTGACGGTGGGACTTCAAAATTTCTGAGAATTATGTAGGTACAAATTCTCAAAGTGCAAAGAGATCGAGATCTCACCATAAGATTATAAAAAAAATCTGCCACAAAGCATCCTTAAAGCTTGGTTTAGGTTTACATTATGTAGGTTTCTGGGGAATTTCATATAACATAATATACATACATACATAGATCATGATTTATGTACATGTGCATACATATTGTATGTACGTGAGGTGAAACAGATAAAAGAACTAGATTATCAGGTATTAAAATGTCCTTAGATTTATTTAAATGGGATTAGATGCCTGCTTAGCAGGCGAATTAAAGATTACTTTAATCGTATTGAGACACAATCTAAAGCACAATCGAAATAAAAAGTAGGCAACCAAATCATAGAAAATGCTCACAAACTACTTTAAACTACGGGGAGCATAGCAACCATTGGGCCACCAAGCAGGCAGGCACATAGAAACGCTATCGAAACTACATATTTCAATGAACATAAAACGATTGACGAAACCAGTAGTGTTACTGCTGAGCTCAGTACGCATATCGAACGGCTGCAAGGTAGGCCCCACCAGTAGCATCCGCAGGAATATCTCGGGAAATGACAGCATGGAGGCGCTGCCAGAGGTTCATGGCAACAAGTTCTTCTACTTTGGATTCGGAAGTAATATGCTGGCACAGAGGATACACATACAAAATCCCACTGCCCAGAGAATCGGTGCAGTCCTCCTGTCCGACTATCGCTTAGACTTTGCCCATGAGAGTCCACGCTGGAGGGGAGCTAGTGCAACAATTGTGCACAAGCCGGGCGAACACACATGGGGCGCTCTCTGGGAGATCGATCTGAGCAATATGGCTGATATTGACAAGTACATATGTAAGTCGATCAGCGGGGAAAGTGGTGATTTAAAATCTTTACCTCTGCAGCGTTCATCTGGGCACCTATGAGTAAAAGCCGTAAAGCTCCAGAATGAGGAGACTCACATCGCGGCTCGTGCCTTTATGATGACCAAAACCCACCTGCCGGAGACAATTCTGTACGACATGTCTCCCGATCAAGTGCCTCCGGAACGGCAGCCATCAAAGACCTATTTGCGTGCCTGATCAAGGGGGCCATGGTGAACTCGATACCCGAAGAGTATGTCACTCGCTTACGCACTCTTAAACATAATGGCAGGGTGGTCAGCAATCTGGAGGAGATCCTTGCAGGATGTTTGCCTATCATAATACCTCCCCCCCCCCCACCCATGGGGTGAATGGGAATGGTAGATCATAGAGATCTCAGGACTTATCGCATCTATTCTCTGTTTCTGATTTCAATTCGATTATGCATAGCGTCAATCGGTCGGTTAGGAGCAACGTAGACTGCGTTTCTTTTCTACCTATGCATTTAAAAATTAAAAATATATAATATGTGTGTACATATGTAGTATATGTACCTTGTGCGAAATAAAGATATTTTGAAAATGTGTTGAATGGAAAATGCAATTCCAATTATTGTATGATTAAAAATGTAGTAAAACTAAGACACAAAAACCCCAAAAAAACTTTTAAAAACTCTGGTTAGCCACTCATTTTGTGGTATGTTCCTAGCGCCATCCCGCCTGCTCAATTAAGCCCCTTCCACACACTTGCGTATGCATGTATTAATTTTACATGTAAATTAAGAAAACATGAAACAGAAAAAAGAGCGTGGAAAATGGCTTGGAAAAACTTTGTGAGGCGTCAACGAAACAACGATTTCCACTTAAACGGAAAAACAGGAACCGCAACGTTTTGTACAGGGTGTGGGAGAGAGAAGAGAGTGGTACAGTAAAACACAAAATAAAATCCTACCACAGAAGGTAATCGGAAAACGCTAAGCAAAACACTGTAGAGAGGAGCGAGAAGGAGCAATATACACAGCTGTCGAAAGAGTGTGAGAGAACGAGCGACCAACAAATTATTTTTTATATGACATTAAAACGAGCAGAACGGAGACGATGGAAATGGTCTGTAAAAAAATGGAGTGTGTCAAGAGAACAAATCTCAGGAGCGGCGGAAGACAATGCCTTTTGCCTAAAACTTCCTCTCCCACAATCACATTGAGGCTCCCTCCTCTCACACTGGCCTTATCAATATCGTCACCTCCACCCACTTCTACAGCTGATGACAGACCGTTCAAAGCCACCCAAAAAGAAGAGCGGACGAGCGAGCGCGTGACATATGTGTGAAGATAGATATAATGTGCGCACATAATGCAACAACAACAATAAGAAGCACGACTGAGAGCACCGCTCTCCACAACTGTTGCTCTCGAAACGAGTGTTGCCGTGGTGCAAATGCAACAGAGAGAGCAAGAAACCTGTTCCGTTGGTCGACCATCGCATGGCGCATGCGATTGTGATTGGACAAAAAATACGCCATATTTGAAAATTACGCTCATTTCGACTCGCTCGCACACAGCAGACCGCACTGCTCTAACGCACGAAAAAAGCGGAGAAACCTGTTTAGAGCGAGCAAAGAGAGAGCGAACGAGTAGGGAGAGAGGAGAGCGAGTAGCGAGAGTGCATGAATGAGCATGAATGAGCGTGCACAAACGTTTCACTTTGCGGCTAGGTACGTTTGCACCGTCACACGGAGTATTCAGTTCGAGTTAAGCCTTCGAATCGTTCAGACGTTGTTCGGAAAAAAAAGCGAAAACAAATAGTCCCAACAAATAGTTGAATAACAGCTGTCCTATCATCAGCCCAAGTGTAAAAAAGTGAATGAGAAACAACCCAAAGGTGAAAACGAAATTTACACCACAAAGTGATCTAAATCGGAATTCAGGAATTATACTTCCCTGAGCCGAAAAACAACAAAGTGAAATTTTGGATTAATATCAAACACAACACACAAAATTTTGCCGTCGCTTTATCTGTGGATTACTCTTCATCGACGTCAAAAGCGAAAAGCTACACAATTCTGTAGCCGATTCAACAATTCTCTGTGGATTACACTTTAACAACAAAACAACACCAAGCAACAAAAATGGTTGTCTTGGAAGGAGGCGGTGGTGTTGTTACCATCGGCAACAACCAATACCTTCAACCGGATTACTTGGCTCCACTCCCAACAACGGTTAGTAAACAAACAAATAAATACAAGAATTAAAAAAGTCAAGAAATTAGCTCTATAAAAATATAATCAACGAACAGAATTAAACTTAAATAAAAAATTGCTACTCTCAATATAAAATGAATTTTAAAATTAATATTCTGCTGGAAAACCCCAAAGAATCTTTGACAAGCTGAAAAAAATATAGTAAGACAATAATAAACTCAAATTGACACAATGATGAACAATTACAAATTAATTCGCTTCACAGTGATACATTTGTATTGAATACTTTAACATCAAGAAAATTAACTGGAAAAATTAAATAACTGGACATTTCAATTCATCTACAAAATTAAATTCAAATGAAACATAAATTAAATTGAGATCCAACATCCCGAAAATATTTTAAAATATTTTCAAAATAAGAAAAATAAGAAAAATAAAAGTAAGAAAAATATATTCAAGAAATTAAAAATAGAATGCAATAATTTTGAAATGAAAAGTTGGATATGTTCAAATAAAAAACATCAATTAGATGGTCGAAAATTTGATTCCACACGAGATGTGACTTTAAAATGAATGGTGAGAAAAAACTAAAAGGCAAAAAACAAAAATATAGAGCTCAATTTGAAAAATAAAAGGAAATTCCACAAGAAAACCCAATAAACTAAAGCCCAATCCTCCTCCTTTTTTCCGTACCTTATAGATGGATGCCAAAAAAAGTCCCCTCGCTCTGCTTGCCCAGACATGCTCACAGATTGGCGCCGATTCGTCGGCTGTGAAGCCACTGCTGGTAATGGACAAGAACAAGACGAAACCGGGCACCTGCTCGTCGTCCTCCACATCCTCGAACTCGTCGAACAACGGTGATCTGTCGGCGGCCAAGTCCCCGGGCGGCCAGGCAAAATCGCCCAAATCCACAACGCCCATTACGGCAACCGGCAATACCAGCCTCACAACCAACGGAGAGATCAAGCTGGCCTTCAAGCCGTACGAGACGAATGTGTTGAGCCAGCAGAACCAGAACTCCTTCAAGAGCAGCTCCTCCATGGAAGAGCCGATGCGCCCCAGCTCCAAGAACTCCTCGTCCGCCCAGGAGCGTGTGCCTTCGCGCAGCAAATCGAATGCCACACCAACTGATGGACACAGCCTGACACAGGAGGCGACACCCACTACACCACATGATAATGGCAACCGGAAGACCGTTTCGCCCTCGGGTTCCTCACAGCGTGGCGCCAGCCCCATTATTCGCTCGGGCATGGAGGTCCTGAGCAACGCCAACGGCACAGCGCAGCATCCAAAGGAGATGAGCAGCATGGCTGCGGCAGCGGCTGCAGCAGCGGCGGCCTACAAGGCAGCCGGTCCCTATGGCCTCAACTCCTTGTCGGCCCTCTGCTGTCCTCCCGGCATGGAGCAGCACGCGAATCCTGCTTTCCGTCCGCCCTTTTCCGGTGGCTTCTCGCACCATCATGCAGCCATGCTGGCGGCGGCTGCCAGCGGCGGTTATCCGGGAGCTGGAGGCGGCAATCCCGCCGGACAGCCCAATCCATACATCAGCTACCAGCGCATCAAGACCCCAGCAGGTGGGGAGGCCATCGTGCCGGTATGTAAGGATCCCTACTGCCCCGGCTGCCCCTACTCGGCGCACACCCAACAGATGCTGATGGGCGCCCCCTGCCCGGCCGGCTGCACCCAGTGCGAGCACCAAAAGTACGGCATGGCCATGGCCAGCGCCGGTCTGCCTCCGGGCCATCCGTACTCACAGGCGGCTGCCAATGCGGCTGCCAATGCGGCGGCGGCACGCTCCGCCCCCTACGTCTGCAGTTGGGTTGTGGGCGATGCCTATTGCGGCAAGCGTTTCCAGACCTCCGACGAACTATTCACCCACCTCCGCACCCACACGGGCAATCTCTCGGATCCGGCTGCCGCGGCCGCCGCTCTCGCTCAGTCGCAGGCACAGTCACTGCTCGGAACCTTGTTCCCACCATCGGCACTCAGAGGTGGATATCCCACCCCTCCGCTCAGCCCCATGTCTGCGGCAGCGGCCGCAGCACGCTACCATCCCTACGCCAAGCCGCCACCAGGATCCCTGGGTGGAGCCCCATCGCCCTTTGGAGCTGGTGGAGCCTTCAATCCGGCAGCAGCTGCCGCAGCAGCAGCTCTGGGACCGTACTACTCGCCGTACGCCATGTACGGGCAGAGGATGGGAGCGGCACATCAGTGAAGAGTAGAGAGGAAAGAGGAAATACAAAGGTTTTTAAATACATACCAAATAAAAAGGAGAAAGGATAATTTCAAACGAATTAAAAATTATGAAATGAGGATTTGCGAGTGCCGGGAAGACTTTCATCTATCTCTTCGGAATTCGCTAGCTGTTCTGTGATACTAAACTGTAGTTGGTCGAGCGCTAATTAAATATACATAAGTTTTAATTCAACGAGAAAGATAGCAACAAAAATAGTAGCAGAACAAACCAGAAGGATCAATTTATTTGCCACTTCACAAGATACACATACACATATTTTCTACAGCAATCGCAAGTCAAATCGCCACGTAGGAGGTGCGCATAAGTATGAATATCATCAGTTGTTTCGGATACAGTTTTTGCGTTTTACAAATAATTTTCTCAAAGTTCAACCAATGCTATTTTCAACTCTTAGAAAAGCAGAAAAAAACATACAAATAAGTATTCTTCAATGACTTCCAAAAATTTTGTTCTCTGAGATGTTTAAACAATGTTTTAATCCAAATTTTGCTTTAATCTTTAAGTTTATTACCTATTATTATTATCAATCATTACAACATTAATGTTCTTTAAGTCAACATAAATGTTAAACTACGTATAAAATTAATAGTAAACACAATGATATTTCAAGATATATGCTAAAAAAACTACAACAAATAAAACATGAATATTTCATATACAATTATATATGTACTGTGCGTGTACATTTTATAGATATAGAAAAACACTAGATTTGCTATCTTATATACTCCCCTTGAAGTAAGCAGATTAATCGGAAATCGGAAATTAGATGATTCACAGCAGCAACTGAATATCAAAACAAAACCAAACTAAATCCACCACACATTCAAACGACAAAACTGAAAGTTATAAATGAAAGAAAAACATAAATCTTTTGAATATATAAACCACATCTTTTACTTGGCAAAAGTTGTCTCTTTTTTTCCAGCAAATTTCAGGGTCTTATTTGCTGGGAATGGGAATACGAGTTTGGTTTGGGATTGTTGGGATTGGCTTACTAATTCAAGGGCCATACAAATAACGATAATGCGGCATGATTTTTCCCTCCCCGTCTTATTTTCGTAAGGCTGATGACATTGGCACATTCTGAAAACCTTATCGCAGTGGTCTCTTATTCCTTTTAAGAACAATTAAGTTTTTTTTTTGTTGCATAATATTAAAAAAAACATGCACTGGTAATTAAAATTTTAAAGTTTTCCATGAGAAACCACTTCAATTGGGACGAAGAGTGAGTTTGAATTGTATTTTAATTAAAATTGCAGCTCCCTGAACCAGTAAAGAAATTGTAATTGAGAAAGCTCAAAGTTTTTCTCGAAAAATGATTCAAATAAAAAGAAAATGTCATTTCCACCTTAAGAAAACTTGAATGTTCCTCAAAACAAAATCTCAAACTAAAATTTTCCAGTCACAAACAATTCCAATGTAATCTTTTGTATGCAGCCTTTTAAATTCGGCCTAAAACGAAATCAAATATAAATTTCAGAGTCCATTAGAGCTGTTGCATTGCATGGGTAGCATTGATTGGGCAAGCCTTAATCAAACCTGGAGTCTCGGGCGACAGTCGTAAAACACCCAAGATAGAAATTAAAAATCAATAAAAACCCACCCATTCATACATACCAATTACATTGTCAAAATCAATTGCCATTCAATGGGCAGCATACGCCCCAACAAAAAACCATATATGTACATACATACATTGTATGTATATAAGAAAAGTACATATACATATATTTATTACAACAAAAACTGCTTACAAAGCGCACAAATGACAAACAATTTTCAGAGACAATATGCTTCAAAAAACGAGGAACAATTCACCAGCATTTTTGAGTGTATCTCATAAATGAATTAATTGTGACAATATTCAATTGATTTCATTTGAAATTATCGAATTCAGCTGTCACTCTACACACACACCCAGCTGTCACTCAACACACACTCACAGACACGACACTATTTTCAATTGTTTTCATATTTGATTTGGTTGTTTTTCCATTTTTGGTTTTGTTTTCTGCTGTTTCCCGACACTTGAGCTTTGTCACTGATTTGATTTTTATTCGATGTAAACACAGAAATCGCTAGGCCCCAAGGGCAGGGAAGATGTTAAGTCGTTGTGGAGGATTTATATTGAGTGTTATAATAATAATCTTAATAATTCTGAGACGGTAAACTTCAGCTGCATCAATTATTGTATTTGTGGGGAATAACGGTTGTATGTAACGCACAGAAGGAAGCGTTTCCGACCCCATAATGCCATGTCTGTCTGTACGTCTTGTTTGTCGGCTAGTTCTCAGAGACTATAAGAGCTAGAGAAACCAAATTTTGCATCCAGACTTCTGTATGCTCACACTGTTACAAGTGTATTTCAAAAATGAGCCCCCGCAAAAAGGTGAAAACCTCCCAAACCCACAATTTTGAATATAAAAGAAAACTAATTCCGTAGGGAATGACCATATCTATTAGATCAACAAATTGGGATCCGATTGGATCATGAGTATAGCCACAATGAAGAAATTAATGTGCAGTGGCTAAACCCACCCAGTCCCGAAGCTTATATTTGTTTTTTTGCACATTATCTCATTCACACTCTTCTTCGCGCAGTCTGAGGCCTTTGCCTCTGCCACGTCTCTGCAGTGTGTGGCTCTTGGGAAGGGGGCGAGCTTAAAGAGCGTGTTGGCGTGAGAAGTGTTGTAAATGTAGATGATAGATGAAGAATGTAAAATTTGACAAAAAACCCCTCAGGTACAGATGTAGTACTGAGTACCCGGTATAAAAGTTGTGACGCGTAAGAAGCGTCTCCCTTCTCGTTATTTTTTGTTTAATTTCTTCTTCTTTTTTTCCTATAATGATAAAATCTAATCGCAATTCTTTGATCTGATAGATTTGGTCAGTTCCTACCGAATTGCGTTAGTTTTTTTGTATCTTCAAAAATGGGGCTGTCAGAGATTTTCGCCATTTGGGGCTAATTTTTTAAATGCACTTGTATCAGTGTGAGCATCCAGCAGTGTGGAGGAAATTTTCTGGCTCTAGCTCTTATAGTCTCTGAGATCGAGTGCACAAAAAAGACGGATAGACGAACAGACGGACGGACGGCCAGACGAATAAGCAGACAGACAGATATAGACTCGGCTCAAGGAACCGGGTATAAAAGTTGTGCCGCGTAAGAATCGTCTCACAAGTTCCTCTTCGTTTATTTGATGTCTATGGCTCTCTGTTGTTCGAAATTTCTTTGTTTTGCTTTTTTTTCATGTTAAACAATTTGTTTTCGATGTCAACACTGGCACGTCGTCAATTCCCAGGTCCGTCCCAGGCCTCTCCAACCAAGAGCTACAACAACAAAAGTAAAAGCACAAGCCAGCAGAAAACAAAACCGATTCAAGTTTTTTGTATTGCTTAAAATAGACCAGGGGAAAGGGAAAAGAGAGGAGTGTTTCGAGAGTTTTAGGTCTTTGGGTCTTAAGAGATCGCTCTGTGGACTGCGCTCTGAAGTTTTGTATTGGCTGGCCCCTTGCAAATCGGCT